AGTTTAGATCAAAAAAATATCTGGTTGATATTTTTTATTGAGATCTCATAAATGTACAAATTTGATTTTGGGATAATTGCTATTTCTTCCTTCCCATAGAGTAAGTTAATTTATTATTATACTTCTCTTTAACAGTTTAATGTTTTTCTATAAATCTTGAGATTTCTTGTTTATTCCTAAGTATTTTACCCTTGTTTTTATTTATTTTTTAAATGTTTATTTATTTTTGAGGGGGGTGCAGAGAGAGAGAGAGAGAGAGAGAGAGAGAGAGAGAGAATCCCAAGGCGGCTCCATGCTGTCAGCACAGAGCCTGACACAGGTCTAGAACTCACAAACCACAAGATCTTTACCTGAGCTGAAATCAAGAGTTGAATGTTCAACTGACTGAGCCACCCAGGCTCCCCATCCTTGTTTTTATTATTAAAAACTTACCTTCATTATCTTTATTTATTTAGGTTTTATTTTAAATAGGGCAGCAATTTTTTTAAATAATAAATTTGTATCTAACCAATGAATAATTCTATTTTTGCAATCATGTTCAGATAATTTTCTTGTATTTCCCAGGTACAATTATATCATCTACAAATTTGCCTCCTTAAATTTTTTTATCTTGTTCCCTTTTTCTACTTCTAGTAATGGTAGATAGACATGTTTTATTCTTGATATTAATGGGGATCCTTTTATAAAGTATTTTATCAATTAGCATGATTTGAGAAATATGTTTTCTCTGGCTAAAGAGGTATTCATCTATTCCCATTTTACTAAGGACTTAAAAAATTTTAAATGGGTATTAAATATCAAAAGCATTTTCTGTGCGAGACCATCATGTGATTGCCTCCTAAATTCTATTTACGTGGTGAATTTTACTAAACTAGATTTCCTGGTGTTAGACCATTCCTGTGTTCCTAATTATCCTCACTTGGTGGTGGTGTAGTGTTTTTAATGTGATGCTAAATTATGTGTTGATATTTTTAAGATTGGTAGCTGTTTCTGTTTTGTAGTGTTTTGGTCATGCTTGCCACCTTTTCTTCCTCTTCTATTCTTTGGAACTGTTTAAGTGTAAAACCCAACCCCTTGGGGCACCTAGGTGGCTCAGTTGGTTAAGCATCTGACTCTGGTTTCAGCTCAGGTCATGGTCGCAGTTTGAGAGTTCAAGCCCTGCGTCAGGCTCCTCGCTAACAGCGCTGTTAGTGCGGAGCCTGCTTGGGATTCTCTTTCTGCCCTTCCTCTGCTCACTCTCTCAAAATAAACAAACTTAAAAAAACAAACAAACAACAACCCAACACCTGTTAATCACTACAGAAAACTGACTACATCCTCAGTGTGCATGTAAATGTTTTGGTAAATGTCAAGTGCTCTACAAATATTAACTGTTAGAGGTAGCAATATCCCAAATGTCATGGCATGTGGTCTGGGGAGAGAATTTGGGTTAAAGGTTGACACTTGGCTTGATTATCTTAGAGCTGCAGACACATTTTCTGTCTCTTCTTCCTTTTTTAAATCCATCATGAAAAATCAGATTCCAGTTCCTATGTGATTCTCATTACTAGAAATCACTGCTCCCTTAATACATTCTGTATGAGAGTGGAAGGGGACCCTGGAAACCCCAGATCAGCCTCCCCTACTCTAGGAAGGGAGAAATGCACCCCAACAATTACCATGCACAAATCATTATGCTAGGTGTCTAAACATATGCTGCTGAACCCACTGAAGAATGCTGTAAGGATGTATAAACAGGCTCAGAGATGTTAGGTAACTTCCCATGGTTACACATTAAGTCCTGACATAGACACTCTACCCTAATCTCTATGTCCTTTTTCCTCCACTACTCCCTTTCTTGCATTTCACATTCACCCTTTTGTTCTCTCATGAAACAAAACTCACCAATGCCTATGGGCCAGGTCCGAGCAATAGATACCACTCCAAAGAAGAGCAGAATCATGGTCCCTACCCTGAAGAGCTGGACACTTGTGAGAACAGACATGAAACAGGTAATGGGAGATATGTGATCTAGTACAAAGACAGAAATGTGGAATGCTGACCTGAGCCAGCAGTTGACCTTTCTGAAGACATGAAGACTCACCAGGAGTTAGCAAACGAAAATTAGAGCTATATGTAAGGGGGAAAAATGAGCCAGGTGGATGGAACAATATATGCAAAGGGGCAGAGAGAAAGCACATTTAAGGACCCAGGCTGGAGAAGTCAGTGGGAGCCAGATGACTAAGAGCCTTGTATGCACACATCTGGGATTTATTAATCCCAAAGCAACGAGAAGCCACAAATTCTAATTCACAAAATCCCTTCCTCCCAGCAAGAGGCAGAATCACTTAGTTCTAAATCACTTCATCTTAATACGTAATACTTAACACCTGAATTAGGTAAACTCCCCTGGTCTGCAGCAGCAGATGTAGGTTACCATGGGGTTGGATTCCACCGGAACCCAAGTAAAGGGCTGCTTTCCCCAAAACTCCCCCTTACTGAGCCCCGCTGCCCCAACATCACTGTGAAATTGTTCCCTATGAGGGAACGGTGAAAGCTTGGAAAGAGCAGGTCCAACCCTGGCTTGTGGACTAACACCTGAATTAGTGAAGTCAGTTCTAGTTTGTACAATTTGCCCTTCCTCCTCCTCAGTACAATTGTCTCTTCCCTTCCTCCCTTCTTAGACTCACTCAGAAAGGGCATGACGTTCCAGCCTCCCTTTCCTCTTCGGCTGCTGGCCATATCCCACCAAGAATCAGAACATTCCTTGTTACATTCTGTGAGTCAGGAAGAGCAGAAACCCTGCTTTCAAGATTCTTCTACCCAGGAAACAGTATTCTGAGAAGAGTGTAAGAAAAGCCTCTACAGTTGAGTTAAGCTAGTAAATAAACTGGCTACCTAGTTGAAATGGGCAAGACAGCCTTAGGGGCATGTGAAGACAACAGACAAGAATGGAGACATAAGGAAAAAATACAAATCACTGATAGTAAAATAATTTTATTTAGTTTCTTTTTTAAAAAAGGTAGCATTTCACATATAAATTTAGACTTCAAGATTACAGTGTGTATTTGCCAAAAGGAACATCCCTGCAGGAGGGATAGACTTAGAGCCTGAGCGAGCGCTGGGAAGCACACTCCAGGGAGAGTTTAAGTGGAAGTAGTTTCTTTACAACTTCACAAAGCTAGTTCCCTGTTCCTCAACTCTGCCATCGGGGGGGGTTGTAAGAAAACCCACATCCAACACTTCGGGGCAACGGCTTTTAGCTTATGGGAATAGGAAACATCTCTAGGAATGAAAGCACAAAGGTCAATGACCCAAATTTCCCACAATAATCATTACCTATCTGCAGCAACAATACATGACAGGTGAAGAGTTTATTCTTCTATTTCAAAGGTTCTTTGAAGGAGAGCTAGAGAACATAAAGAGAGTGTATATAATAAGCAAAAGTGAAAAAAGGATTCTCTCCATATTACAAATGCCTCTCTAGTATAAGGCCCAGGGAAAAGCCCCACGCAAATCTGGGATTCCTTCCCCACAGAAAGTGTTTGGCACAACCCACAAGCTGTCATGAGACTGACAGGACTGACAGCAAAAAGGTTTCTGGAAGTGGTCCCATGACTTTTCTGTCTGGCTTGAACACAGTATTCATGAAAGGTGTCTTAACAAGCTACAAACTCAGGCCTAACTATGGGGCACACTGTTTCAGGAAAGCTAATCTGAAGGGGAAAAGGCCCAGATGAAATAGGTCTCCCAAAGCCACAGGCAAACTCGTAACTCACTCTGTCATCCTCTCAAGGGAGATTAAATCCCCTGGCTGCCCAGGAAGTCAGTGGAATCCTGACTTCCTAGGGAGGGTGAGAGCCAGAGAACAGCTTTGATTTCAGAATCTCAGAGCCAGGAAAAAAGGAGACAAAGATGACCAAAGATGCTTTCTAAGTTACTCTGTCCCATACTATGTAGGCTCCAGAAGAACAATATTGAGGAGAATCAGTGTGCTAGTAACCATGGCAGCCCTAGGATTCAGCCTTCAGGTAGAGGTACTGGGGCAAATAAATGTACCCCAAATCCAGTTTTACAAATAAAAACTTCCTGCAGTTATGATACAATACTGTGCAGTGAACAGCTGGGAACTGTATGCTGCTATTTCCGGTTAAAGCCCTGTCCCGCTCTTGGCCAGCCAGAGCTGAGAAGTGACACATAAGGAAGGAGTGGCTAAAAGTCAGGCACCTTAGTTACAAATGGCCTGGGGCAGTGATGCAGACAGTCATCATCCAATGGAGAGGAAGCGGGGGCCCCAGAGCTGTGGTTCAAAGCAAAGGTTTCATCTTACCCAGAACTTCAAACCAAGCTCTCTGAGCCTACTAATGCAGTAATAACTAGTGATTAGGAATCCCTGGCTGGGTGGCAAGGTACATATCTCAGCAGGCCACCAACTCAACTATAGGGAAAAAAAGGTGCAAATAATATCAAGTAAATCATTGCTCAAGTGGAAGATCATTTCCTGGAGAACTTCAGTGGACTAGATGCTAATCACACGGATGAATGCTGGGACTGGACCCCAAAGAAAGCCTGGGCCCCAGGCGTGATTGGTCGTCTTTACACTTACCGCATCCTGACATCTTCTCTGGCCTCTTATGTCTCGAATGGCCAAGCACACATTTCCCCGGGGACCAATGTAAACATTATTCAATAGATCTCAGCTTAGAAAAACACAGCTTGTTATATAATTGATGTCTAACATTCCAGTGCAGGCAGTATCTTAGCATCAGACTTTCCCGGATTTATGAGTACCAGTTCAGAAGGGAACACACACAGGATACTTGATAAACTGTGGCTGAAGACATTTGGGTGCCAGACAGTTGGTTCTACCCTGCAATCAGTTGATAAGCCAGGGCTATCACAGGAGAGGCAGAACAGACAGAGCACAGGTTCTGTGTGAATCTGAAGAGTCATATAACCATTGTTCCCACTTAACCCCTTGGGCCACATCTTGATATGGGAGTACATTTCCACCTCTTGCATCAACCTGTGCTCTCCTTGTTTTGGATGGGGCTCTCTCCAGAGGGTTCAAGAGCCTCCTTAGAGAGGAGAGAGCTTTTTCTTCCAGTCCTAACATCTGAATATTTTGAAGCACAAGAGGAGTCCATGAACATGCTAGGGATGTTGCTGCCAAAGTAGATCTTACTGTTAGAAGCAATGGCCTGGTACCTTTTGAGCTCCAGATATTCCGGGGTCAATTTGTGCTGTGTGGGGGCAAACAAGAGCAAAGGCATCAGGACACTTCAGTGCAATAATCATCCGTCTCTTTCCTTACACACATTTCCCCTACTGCTCTCCTGAACATCACTACTTGACTCTGAGTCATTGCCAATGATCTTCTCTCACTCTGAAGTGTGGCTATCACATTAACAGCTGTATTTTAGACTTGAAGTTCCTTACACAAGCTCCTGTCCTAATGTAGAGAGAAGTTGTTCATTTAAAAAAAAAAAAGGATTGGGGCGCCTGGGTGGCGCAGTCGGTTGAGCGTCCGACTTCAGCCAGGTCACGATCTCGCGGTCCGGGAGTTCGAGCCCCGCGTCAGGCTCTGGGCTGATGGCTCAGAGCCTGGAGCCTATTTCCGATTCTGTGTTTCCCTCTCTCTCTGCCCCTCCCCCGTTCATGCTCTGTTTCTCTCTGTCCCAAAAATAAGTAAACGTTGAAAAAAAAAATTTTTTTTTAAATAAAAAAAAAAGGATTGAGGAGATGGGTTTGGGGAACAATGGTAACTAACATTTCTATAGTGACTTGGGGCCTGAAAAATGCCTTCATATATACTTTTATATTTCATCTACCTAAGTTCAACCTAGAATTAGTCTGGAATCTCTGCAGGTTCTCTTAAGAGGACAGGTCAATGGATGAGAATGGCAGAGCTTCAAAGGGGCTAGGCTCATATCCTTATAATCAACCATTTGTGATTCTGCTTTTCTTGACCACATTCTAGAAGTGGAAAAGATCTCAAGAAATCACCTGATCTGTCCTCTTGCCTCTACTTAGAAGCTAGATGTTTAAACTGATTGTGATAGATGTTTGTCAATCACCAGATCTGTCACAGTTTTTGTTTTTAAATTAAAATCATGGTGCCAAGATATATCCAACCAAAACCTCGCAGGGTTTGTTATTAAAACTAATTTCTAATATTCCTGGAATATACTTCCCCAAAGCCTTTCCCTAGTAATCCTCCCCTCATTGCAAGTCCCTGGCCTGTCCTCTAGGCCAAAGCCCATCTTGACCTTCATAGTACCCCCCCACCCCAACACCTTCCACTCCCTGGGTCTACAGTCTCTCCAGTTGATTCACATCCTCTGCTGAAACTGCCATCAAATATGGTCACAGTGCATAACCAAATTACCTCCTAATGCCTTATTAATATAATATCAATATCCAAATAGCATTTTTCAAAATGGCATAAAACTGCTGTCCCTTTCAGCATAAGGCTAACCTCAAGGACAAGGTCTTGATACTCGTGCCTGGATAGCTTCTCCCATAACAGATTTGGATTGCTAGTTTTATTATTTATTTATTTGTGTTTGTTTGTTTGTTTTTATTTTTGAAGGAGAGAGAGAGAGCACAAGTGAGGGAGGAAGAGAGAGAGGGAGACACAGAATCCGAAGCAGGCTCCAGGCTCTGAGCTGTCAGCACAGAGCCTGATGTGGGGCTCAAACCCACAAACTGTGAGATCATGACCTGAGCCAAAGTCGGACACGTAACCAACTGAGCCACCCAGGTGCCCCTGGAGTGCTAGTTTTATAAACTAAAGTTTCTCACCTTGCCTCCATCTTGACCAAATTCCATTGTTTTGATAGAGCTGTGTCTCCAATATGTTAAATTTACTTCTAAATTTATACTGGATTTCAAAGTACTGACAACTCTCACTCTATCAACCTATCATATCATGCCTTATCAATTCTTCTGAGCCCAGAGTATGTTGTTCCTTTCTAAAATGAAAGAATTTAAGACCTGTGTATACTTTAAATCTTGACTCTAATCCTTCAAACCACACCACTTTGGCAACCTCTTTCTCAACTCTTTCAACGTTCTAATCTGCAATGTTCTCTCTGCAATTAATAACTTTATCAACCTTGGTCATATTCTTCCCTTTTCAGAATACAAAGGGGTTCTAGTTGCCTCTTACCAATTCCTGCTTACTAGGCCTGCATTCTCTAGACTTAAATTAACCCGAGTCTCTATACAAAAACCGTTCACCCATTTCACCCAACCTCCTACCTCCAATTGTCACATGTGAAATTCCTCACAACTAGAATATTTTTTAAATCCAGTAAACAAGCAATATTCAGTTAGGGGCATTTGGAAATGTGGGGAAATGGAAAAGGTGTTGACTGTTCAAATAATCGGTGAGCACTACTGACACGTAGCAGGCAAGGGTCAGGGATGCAAAATAGTCCGTAATGCATGAGATACCCATGTCTTCAACAATGAAAAAGTTTGCCACCTCAAAATGCCAAGAAAGTTTCTGATGAGAAACACTGCACTAAACGAACTTAGCATCTATGCAAAGCTACCTGGAAAGCAACTCTAAATGGACTTTACTCTTCTCTTGTTACTCCTGTCATTCCATGAGAAGATCCTCACCTTTCCTGATTACTAAGCCCTGACAGAGCAGTACAGATGGATGGTTTATAGCATTTGACCTGTGTTTATAGATTTGTCCGCTATTGTCCTATCTCCCCACTTTTACAAGGAACTACACAAAGGTCTCTCCCCATTGAGTGTGCAATATGACTTGATAAGTGATTGGTTGTTTCTGGAGAGTATGATGGTAACTACCAATCTTTGACACTGGATAAATCACCTCTATTTAAGCTATTAGATAGCTATTAGAGCCCCCCCACAAAGAAAAGCAAAACCCCAAACACTATATTATTAGGAGTGGGGCATGGAGAGCCAATCACCTTGTTTGAGGTGGCATATTTGTGTGCAGCGTAATACTCAGCATCTGCCTTCGCCTTCTCTCGGGCCAGGAATGCGGCATCTAGCAAGCAAAATAGAGTCAAGAGTGTTTAAAACAAAGGAAAGTTGCAATCCACTTCCTCAGCTGTGTAAGGGTTCAGACACTATGTTAAGTAGGGCTCTCTTTTTCCACTGCCTGATATTTTGATCACTTATTTTATTCATTTATTTTTAAAGATTTCATTTTTTTTAAAGTAATCTCTATACCCGACACGGGGCTCAAATTTACACCCAAAGATCCAGAGTCATATGCTCTACTGATTGAGCTAGCCAGGCACTCCTCAATCACTTACTTTAAAGGCATGTAACAACATTAGCAGTTTTCAAAACCCAGTCCCCAGACTCTTTTCCAAGGAGAATACTCTCGTCATTGTTAACTTTCAGCTCATCGGAGCCTACTTCATTTTTCACCTAAAGCTGCTCCTTCTTTTCTCTACCCATCATCACCCAAAAAGCCTCACACCCTACCCATGTCTAGGCTTCAAGTAAAACAATGAAGTCCAGACATGAAAGCTCTGCTCTATATATTGCACTGTCCCCATCCCCTCCAAACTGGATCCAGAATCAGTTAATGTAGAATGACAGGACAGGAAGCAGCAGTATATAAGCAAAAGAGGTTGAATGTCTGGTCTTCAAGACTGTGAGCTCAGAACATTAGCATCTCACTATATGAAATCTAGGAGTTTGAGAGCCTTTTACGAAAACTAAGGCTGCTTTGTTCCTGGCTAAATTTTTTGTTATATTTTTGATTGACAGGTAGGAAAGAAACTAGTAGTGGTGGGGGTTTCTTATATATTCTTTACAACTGATTATAGGTAATTCTCATATTTTGTCTGCCTGAGGACAAAGTGGTAGCTAATAAGCCACAACTTAAGGACAGAAAATGAGCGATGAGTTGCCTATAGTCACAAACCAACCAAGAGCTAAACATGTAATGGTAATTTTAAAAAATCTGTCTATGAGCATAACAGGGCAGCCACTTCCTCCAGACCAGATTATTCTGTCTATGGCCTTCCCACCCACCATAATCAAGAAATCAGTCGCTGAAGCAGAGAGGCAGTTCAAGATAGTCAGAGCCTCTTTTCTCCCTGATGTACCTTCAATTTCAGAAATGCGCTTTTCAGTTTCTTTCTCCATCACCTTCTGCTGAAACCGAATTTTTGCCACTTGTGCAATCTTCTCTGCTTCTATAATTATACACAAAAAAAGATACATTCAAAAACATTTCTCTAGGTCTGGAAATACTTAGAATCAGCAGCATATAGTTTTAACACTTAGTCATATAAGGTTTTATGGGCTGTTTCATTGTTTTAAACATCCAGACTGTACACAACTCAACAGAAAAAAGGGAATTTATTTCCTATTCCACTGTTGACAGTGCTGGTTTTGTGGGAAATGGGAGGGAATACAAAAGGTTAACAACAGTTTCAGTCCTTCATGGGATTACACAGCAGCGGTCCACAAGCTAATGGGGAAAATGATACTTCGTGAAAGTACTCAGAACAAAAACAAAGCAACATAAATGCATGGCAACATAGGACAATCTTATAAAACAGCAGGAGAAAGAAGGAATAAAGATAAGTTAAACCAAGAAAGGTCTTCTGGAAAAAATCCTAAAGAAAATAATGGACATGACCTAGGAGGACATGGCAAAAGGAGTAAAGACAAGAAGAACAAACGAACAGTCACAATGAAGAGGTCATTATGGAGCCAGCTGACAAGAGAACAAATAATTAGAATAGAAAGAAAGCTAGAAGACCTCCATCTTGAGTAATGGGCTAAAGAATTTACCTTTAATATACTCAGGATCAAATGTTGAAGTTACCAAGAGGGAAATGACAAGATGAAAATATCAGAGAAGGAGAATTCTGACTGCGGTAGAACATAAAAGAGAAAGCAGGCTAATTCATCTGACACTGTGAAAACAAGTGTTGGGGGTGAACATGTTGGTTGCAGCAGACAATTATAGGCAGGGAAAACCAAACACCCTCAAGTACACCAGCGGCCTAACCAAAAGATCCAGGACCAGGGAAGAAAGACTCTTATTACACTTTTAATTCAATCACAGCAATTCTTGAAGAACATTCTCAGTTCTTCTTTTCAGCCAAAGAGGATGAGTATTTTAACACATCTTATCTCTGTCCCTGGGGGAAGAGTATAAGAGAAAAAAGATTTCTAAGTGTTTTCCTATTTCCAGAAGATCCAGTATCCTTTAGCATTGACGCCAGCGCATACTTCCCTATTTCCTCATTAGCATAAAATCAACTTGTATCACCCCAACTCCCAAATAGACTATGACGTTCTACTGGAAATAACAGAAGGCATTTGGAGCCTATAGCTATAACCCAGAGAATCGTGTCTCAACGTAGGGAAATGGTTGTGGTCATCCCACTTAACGCTACTCTCTGATGTGTAGAAATAAACCAATAAACAGCATGAGTCAGGTTCTAGTTCTAGAAAAATGGTGAAATAGAGTAATGAGAAAACCCCCCAGCTAACAACACCTTAAAGTGCTAGACAAAATGTAACAATTTTTTTTTAATGTGTGGCTAAGATGCTAAGAAAGAATGAGAGATCCCCAAGACACATAAGCAAAGGAAGAGTTGAGAGCTGAGAGCTGGTATAGGAAGAGCTGAGAACTTAGACAAGCAAGGGAGATGGACCTGGGAGTGTTGCCCATTCATGGCCAGGAGGTGACGCCTTGAGAACTGTATAAAACTGAGACCACTAATGGGCTTCAATTCCACTGAGACTAAAAACCTCTACCCACCAGCCCAGTGAAGAGAAGTAAGCTTGTCTCTACCTAGACACACCACAAAGACAGAGAAAAATTATAAAAGTAAGAAGACAAGAGGAAGCCAAACAACAATGAAATAGTATCACCACAGTGACAGAAAAAAAGTAAGTTTTGTTGGGCTTAGAACTGTAGGCTAAATTACTAATTCAAGAATGAAATAAAATCATTTCAGACTAAGGAAGAATGAGTAAGTTATCCATTCCTTAGCATTTATTGAAAAAAAACCAAAACAAGAGTAACAAACTAGTAGAAAAAAGAATGAATTGCCAAAAACAATGGAGAGGGGAAAAAATTAAGTAACGCCTATAGATCAAAATGGATGTTTACTGTAAGAATAAATGATAATAGTAATAATGAGGGAATAAAAAGAACATAAAACTAAAATACGAGGTAACTATGTAAAATTGAGGGACAGTAATAAGAATTAAAGCATTCTACTGTTTTATGAGGATAGAATGATTAGCTTTAGATTCTGTCAAGTCAGGTATGCTTATTAACATTTTACAGGTAATGACTAGTTATAGAAACATTCTAGAAACAATATAAAACTTCCAATTAAGTAAAAGGAAGAAAAGAATAAAGAAAACCCAATCAATTCAATACCAATCGGAAAAGAGAAAAAAGAAGCAAAGGAAAAAATGCGTGGTGAATAGCACAAAACTAAATGATACAAACAAATCCAAATATAGCAGTAACCACAATAAATATAAAAAGACTAAACTCACCAGTTAAAAGACAGATTCTCACATTGGATAAGATAACAAAATCCAGCTATATGCTGTTTACAAGAGACACACCTAAAACATAATGACATAGAAAAGTTGAAAGTAAAAGGATGGGAAAAGATACATCAAGAAAATAACTAACCATGAGAAATCTGGCATAGTTATAATTTCATTAGACAAAACAGATCTTAAGCCAAAAAGTGTGTCTGGGATAAAGAGGGTTATTACATAACAGGAGCAATTCTCCAGGGAGATGTAACAATCCTAAATGCTCTTAATGATACAGCTCTAAAATATGTAAAGAAAAAAAATTACAAGTCAACAAATCTACGGTCATGGTGGGAGATTTTAACACACCCTTCTCAGTAACTGATAGCTCAAGAAGGCAAAAATTAGAATACAGAAGATGTAAACAACACAATTCATAAGCCTGACTGAATGGATAAACAGAGAAAATTTGCATCCAACAAATAAAGAAAACACATTCAATCTTTTCAAGCACACAGAAAACATTTACCAAAAAAGTACCATGTACTGATAGGCCACAAAGCAAATTTCAACAAATACTTAAGAATCCATATAATAGATCATATTTTCTGACTATCATGCAATAACATTAGAAATCAACAATAAAAAGGTAGCCCCCTAAAAACCCAGAAATTGAAAAATATACTTTTAATACTTCATAAGTGAAAGAAGAAATCACAATGGAAACATTTTACAAAAATTAAAAATGAACACCAATAAACTACATTTCAAAACACGTGAATAGAAAAAAAAGAAAATATATAATCTTACATGTTTCAATCAGAAAAGACTGAAATCTAAAGAATTAAGTAATTCAAGAAGTTAGAAAAGAACCAGTGAGAAAACTCAAAAAAAGAAGTAGAAGAATAATAAAAATAAGTGTAAATAATGTAATTGAAAAGTTAAGAGACAAAAGAATCAACCAAATCAAAATGCAGTTCTCTGAAAAGATGAATAGAGTATCACAGACCTCTGGCAGAAGTAATCCAGCAAAAGCGAAGGCACAAAAAAACAATACTAGGAATAAAAAGGGGCATGCACATTTGGTAGCAGATTTTAAAAATTATAAGAGAATTCTGCAAATTTATGTCCCCACGTCTGAAATTTCAGATGTGAAACAATTTTCTAGAAAAGTATAACTGCTCAAACTTAAAGAAACAAGTACCTGAACAGACCTCTAGTTACTACAGAAATTAAATCAACAGGATAAATGTTACCACCAAAAACAAGCATATGAGAGAGCACAAACCCCACTAGACCAAGATGGTTTTTTACAAGAGTTCCATTAAACCTACAAAGAGGAGATAATAACATATTTTATACAAAATGTTCCAGAACACAGAAAAAAAGAATGCTCTCCAAATCATTTTGAGGCTAGTGGAACCATTAAAAGAAGAAAAAACAAACAAACAAAAAAAACCACCTGACAGTACAAGGAAAAAATTATAAGCTGAAATTTATAAAAGTAAAAATGAAGACATATAAAAGTAAAAATTTTAAAGAAATTATAAGCAAGACATATAGAGAAATGTACTGAGGTATATCTCCTATATCATGATCAAATGGGTTTATCCCAAGAAAGCAAAATAATTCAGGAAAAGAAAATCTACTAATATAATTCACCACATTAAAAGCTTTAAAAGGAAAAATTAGAAAAAATATACATAGAAAAAAATTCTAAGAGTTTTAACAGTCATTTATGATAAAAACCTCTTGGCAAGCAAGAAACAAACTTCATGAACCTGATAAAAGTTAAGTACAGCAAACATCACTGGGACTATTTAAAGTTAGGAACAAGACAAGAATACTTGACGCTACCTTTCTTTTCAACACTGCACTTTAAGTCATAACCTTGAAATCAGGAAGATAAGAAGAGTAAAGAGGTATGGGACTACAAAGGAAAAACCAGAACTGTCCTGATCTGAAGATAGTTTGACTGCTCACAACAGGAGACTATTAGAAATAATAGCATTTTCAGCAAGACTACTAAACAACAAAATGAACAGCATACCTATACAAAAGCAAAAATCAGTTAGAAAAATCCTTCAAAAAAGATCCTATTTATAATGGCAAAAAGCTTGAGGAATATATAGGAATAAATCTCTAAGAAAGAAAGTGCCAGAACCTTAAGAAGAAAATTATGATACTTTTTGAAAGACACTTCTCATAAATGGAGAAATAAAACAGATTTATAAGACTCAGTATAAGTCTGAGTAAATAAATAAACAATTTAATTAATCAATTCTCTCCAAACTGACATGTATAGGTAATGTAATTCCAATCAAACCTCAACACAGCATTTTGTAGAACGTGACCCGGTTCTAAAATTTATATGGAGGAATAAAGGGCCTAGGATAGCCCAAGACATTTATAAGAATATTTAGGAAGAGTAAAGCGAATAGTTAAGGAGAAACTTGCTCTCCCAGATAGCAAGACTTAACATAAAAAGCAACAGTAATTAAAACAAGGTAATTCTGGAGAAGGATAGACCATGAAATTAGAACAAAATAGAGACCACAGCAACAGAACAAATTATATACAGTATCTTGTTATATGATAGGTGTGGCATTAGAAAAAAGTAGAGAAAATAATGAACTTTTCAATAAATAGCCTAAAATAATTGGCTTGCTATTTGGAAAAAATAAACTGAATTCCAACGTCACACTAAACCCTAAAATAAATTCCAGATGGACTCACGATTTAAATATGAAAAGCAAAACTTTAAACCTTTTAGAATAAAATTATTACTTTGGGGTTGGGAAAGAATTCTTAAACAGGATAGAAAAAGCACAAATCAGAATGGAAAAGACTGATGAATTGATCACATGAAAATTAAATATATATGAATGTCAAAGACATCACAGAGTTCAAAGGCCACAAAGTGAGAGAAGATATTTCCAATGCATAAATCTGGGAAAGGATTAATATCCAGAAGATACAAAGAACTTCTATAAATCAGTCCAAAAAAAGTAATCAAATGGGCTAATAATATATTAACAAGCAATTCACATACAAAAAAAGAAACCTGAATGGCCAATAAACAATATTCAACTTTACTAGTTATCAGAGAACTACAAACTGAAATTACATGATACATGTCCACCAGCAAACTGACACAAAATTTAAAAGGTCTAATGACTCCAAGAGTTGAGGAGGATATGCAGAAATGGGAATCAATTATGGCAGCAAATGAACCGGAACTCAAACCCTGCTGAAGAGAAGGTAAAATGGTAGAATCACCACTGGAGAGCAATTTGGCAATACCGTATGTTGTAAATTTGAAGATGTATGTATCCTATGACCCAGCAATTCGACTTGGAGGTATTCCAGAGTAGTGCTTCTTCAACTACCTATGGAAGGAACAGCACCCTCCCCCCCTTTTTCTGTATTTCAATTTGTTAGGAAACAATATTTTATAAATTATAATAAAAATTAATTACTTGGAAAATATTAAAAACAAAAACACAGGGTCCAGTTTTTTATTATTAGACATAAAATTACTATATAATACTATAAGAATTTCTAAGCACTCATTGTCAATTTCTGTCCTCTCATTATGGATCAGAAACAAAAAGCCGATGATACAGGGCAGTGACCAACACTACATGTTGAGTAGCACTATCACAGGAAAACTCCAAATATGTGCACAAAGACACATGGACACTGGCATTACTGCGGCACTGCTCATAGTAAGGAAAAACTAGAAACTACGTAACTCTTCAACAGTAATTCATCAGAATGAACTGAGGTCCACTCATAGAATGAATGCACAGCAGTTAAAAATAACCAGATCTACACCTACCAATATGAATAAAACTCAAACAATGTTGGTACGATAAAGGCAAGCTGTGAAATAAAAGGTAGAGTCTGATACCATTTTTAGGGTTTAAAACAATCCTATGAATTATTATTACATAGTTATAATAAAAATATAAAAATATGGGCAGAAAGATTACACAAGCTTTAGAGCAGAAGCTACTCAGAAAAGATGGGTCAAGAAATAGGACCAGGTAAGAGAACACAAGGGGCTTCCAACAGATATATAAATTTATTTTGAAAGAAAGTATGACCTGAAGGGATGTGGCAAACACTAAGCCTTCATTTTATTATTCTCTGTACATTTCTGCATATTTGAAATAGTTTACAAAACACCTCTTAACTTTCAGCATCCCAAGGAACAAACAACTGACAGCCTAAGAGGTCAGTCCAATACACAGTCTCCTGGAGTGTTTGGGAAGCCTCTGTGATTCAAATAAGGTGTAAGCAATCCTGCCGTACTGTCAGAGAGGGCAACATCTAGCCATCCAGATAAAACTAGGTACATGTCAACGGCAAGGATGCATGCTATAAACATGAGCTTTGGCCAAAAAACTTCCCATTCTTAAATTGTATGAACAAAAACTCTACCCCACAGAGGCCAGCGTTGCCCCAAAACCCTATCCATTTTCCTTGTCCTTGAAAAAAGTAGCAGTAGCAGCCACACATGGTCGCGAGCCAAACCACTTCATTAAGTACTGGCACCATCAGGTTTTAAAGGCTGTAGGGCATCTGAATGTACAAAAGAGTTTCCAGAATTCTCTACTATGTATGATGCAATCTTATTTGATCCCATCAATATCCATCATCAGACTGACAAAGAACAGGACAAGCTCGTAACACATGTAGTTTAGAAACAACCAATTCAGAAAGAAATCAAAGTACCTATAACAGCCTTTTTCCTCTCTGTCTCAGCTTCTTTCTCCACAACCTTTTGTTTCTGTGCAGCTATAAGAAGTTTTGTCTTTTCAGCCTCCCTGTGAAGCAAAATATTATAAAAATTAGAAATGATGTGCAGTCACAGGCAGTAATTCTGACTCTATGGTGGGTCAGAGAACCATTTCAACACGAACTTTCTGATCCACTATGGTGCCAAGAGAGGTGTTACCTTATTTTACTTATAATAAATCTGAGGCTGAAAGGTTAAATGATTTGCCCAAAGTCACCCAGATATAGGCATCAAATTTATACATCTGAGTTTAGTCTGACCTTTTCCTCTAACTGTATCATGGAAAGGCCTGTGATCTGGAAGTACCCGGAGTATATAAATGGTTCTTTTACTGTTAGGCCTCCAGCTAGCCCATACAGCACTCTGGGCCAAATAGCAAAATGCAACAACCTCTGGGCAGACGCAGTCCCTCAGGTACATGGTCTGACAAGCAGAATGGAGCTGGATTTCAGCCCCTCCTCAGGCACTCTTTTGCAGTGGCCCTGCTTGTATGGAAGACATAATTAGGTGGCAGTTATTAGGTAGTGAACTAGTGCTCAATGTAAAGAAGACTTTTCTGAGAACCTGAGTGTTCTAATAATGGAAATGGCTGGCCTATCACTAAGCATGTACAAGTGGTGATTGGGTGACCACATGGCAGAAAAAGTATAAAAAAGACTACTATTAGGTGGAAGGTTAGATCTCAAGGTGGCTTTTAATTCTGGGATTTCAATAGTCTACAAAATTAGAAAGATCCAGATTTATCTGAAAAGTAACTCCAAGAGTTTCCCTAAAACATTTCCCCCCAAAGATCTCTTCTTTCCTCCTGCCCAAATTGATAAAGACATAAAATGGCATTCTGGATACTACAAATTATTTGAGGGCAGAGAACATACAGTCTTCACGTTTCCATCACTAAAAGCTATCATGTTGAGAGCCTAAGGCATCCTGAGCCTTCAATTAAAAAATTTTTTTATACCAATGCATCAGACTCATGATCTACCCAGCCTGGCACTCTGCTTTATAGCTTCAAAAAAGAAGTTCCTTTTCTACAAATGAAAAGAGAAAATAAAACTCAGCATAATAAAAGATACAGACTCGGGAACAGTAAGGACTCAACCGTATATTATCCCAGGAAGAAGTATTATTACTTCTTGGATCCCCTATACTTATACAATCTGTTGTATTCTTGACTTGTGCAGTTATTTTTCCAGCATTTCATATTTTTCCTCTTCAAATACCAGCCAAATTTCCTAAAGACTTTTGTTTCTTCTTTTCACTACCTGTCACACAAGAATAATACTGCCATTTCAACTACAATAGGTATTCCCCTAATATGGATCTTCAGAACACTTAGAAATTAATTTCATGTCAAGCAAGTAACTTCTCATTCCCAGTCAGCCCTGGACACATAAAAGAGAAGACTACCAGGAGTCAATTAAGGCAAAGCTTCCCCAAAGCAAATTATAAAGATCTTCGTGTCATTTTGGATACACAACCACATAAAATGAACATCAAACTTTACGCCAATAAAGTGTTTCTATTCTTACCATTACAACACAGTAACACAATACAGGCACTCCCTTCAACCTTACCAGCCAGGACTCCTTCTCTTCTCTATTAGTATTTAATTAAAGATAATCATGTCCAAATTACAATTCCTTAGCTTTCCAACAATAGCTCTATAGCAAACTGCATACTTAGCCTCTAATGCTGCTCCTGAAATGTTCATATATAAAGGGAAAACTCATAATAATCTAGTGAATTAAGACACAAGAATAGATAATATTATTAGAATTAAAGAACGGAAAATAGATATACACCCCACCCCAGAGTGTAATATCTCATATAGAAGTTTTCTCTACACTGGTATATTAATAAGTAGACAGCCCTAAAAAAAAATGTTGGGCTCCCAAGCATATTACTCACATTAACTCAAAATTTCTTCTTATGGCTTCTGGGATTTTGGGTTTTGTAACACGCACAGCCTAAAAAATAAAAGTGAAAAGCCAAAGTATATTTGAAAAATAAATCTTCAAACTAAATCTACAGAAAAGCTCCTCATATGAAAGCAATAAAGCAACTATGACATAGCTGCCTACTAACACGTGTGGAGTTTCCACTAGAAAATCTGGTTTTCATGCCATCACACCAAGAATCAAAGATACTCTGCTTTTTACTTCCTTAAAAAAAAAAAAAAAAAAATGCTTGGCTACAGGAAAAACCACTCTATCCACTGAGGAAATAAACTCCTTAAGGGAAAAGGTTCTCCCTTAAAAGACCTCCACAAAGCTCTTCAGTTGGATACTTTTGTTTCCTTTCCAGGCTTGCCAACCAAAGAAACACAAGGAAGGCAAAATTCCAAGATTTAAATTGTAAAGTAGGAAACAGTCAACAACAAAAATAAAAGCAAACAAAATTCAGGTCAGTATATGCAACTTAGTAACAGTAGACAATAAACATATTTACTGTTTCTTAAACCTGTAATCACTCAGTACTGGCTATACAGAAACAGTCCAAAGCTGAAGGAAAACAAATACCAGTTGACAGCGTACATTCTTTCTTGCCAGGAGCTCACTTAGAACAAAGTCTACTTGTCTTTTTTAGACATTGTTTACTAGACACTTTGTTTCCCTAACCGTAGTGTACTTTGACATTAATTAAGATTATCTATTTGGGAACTGCAGCTTTTTGAAGGCTGACTTCTCCATCAGAAAACTAATCTTTCAAAAGCTTTTGATTTAACTAGTTAAACATCACTCCCCGCACCCCCCTACATTACAAACACACACAACAAACTCCTGATGTGAAGAAAGTTTTAATTTCCCTCTGAAAACTGGCTAACCTTAAACAAAGCCTCTATGCACATAACCTTCTTTTAAAAGCCTTTTAAAAAGACTTAAAAACTTTTAAGCAACACAGCCTTTCCAACATGTGAGAGAACAGTCAAATCTGTGAAGAATTTGAGAGCTATCATAACTAAATACAAGAATTAGTGAAACGGAGAAAGAAGCTGGGGACTCTAGTGAGGAAAAGTCATTACGTGCTGAAGGTGGGGCATATGAGGCCCTGAGGAACAACGCACAGAGATACCCAGAAGACAAAAATTCCTAACAAGCATTTGTGAGAGATGCCAGATTTCACGATGTGACTACCAGAACACAAATGACTTCCAGTATGTTTTAATATGATCCAGGAGGAAGCACTATCATTTTGCATTTAATTAAGAAACTGGCCATATATTTTTAGTCTTTTTTTTTTTAATGTTTATTTTTGAAAGAGTGTGAGCAGGGGAGGGGCAGAGAGAGAGAGGGAGACAGAG